GTTGCAGCAATGCCGCTGATAACTTTGCAAGTAAAGTATATCAGATATTATTAATTTTATTTATGCCCTTTTTTCTCCATGGTTGCAGTAATGAATAAGCTTTCAAGTTTCTCTTAACTTGCGGATGATCAGATATTCAGACTGAGATTCAATTAAAACTTGATAATTTTTCTTAATCTGGAATTGACTGATGCCTTGTTTTGTTCATTCCATGCACTAAATTTAATGTTGCAGCTGCTGATGTGAAAACACATTTGAATCGCTACTTGTTGATTGCTACGAGTGGAGGCTTAAACCAACAAAGAAGAGGGGTGAGTTTCTTGATTGAGCTAGAGTTGCATAGTTTTCTTCTATTCAAGGCTTAACTTATTGTTCTAATTTGTTCATATAAAGGCTTAAAAGAACCTTGTGGTTATGCATTCAGATTCCAAATGACTTCTTTATTAGTCTAATTGTTGCTAGTTATTTCGTTTTGGCATCTGGTTATAAGTAGCTCTTGTATAGGACCAGTTGATAGGACTCTGTAACTTTTTCATTCCATGAGTGAATAGTGATGAGACTGGCTTCTAATCATGCATGCTTTTGTTGCTGATTCTGTCTGTGATGCTTTGTTTCCTGATTCTGTTACGATAACTGATGCTGTTGTTGCAGCTTATATCTTGAATGCTACTCTTGTTGTTCTCAAGCTCGACCAGAAATCGTTTTGGAAGGATTCCAGGTCAGTTTCAACATATCACAGTTAAAGAACTATTGTCGAGGTCAATGTAAGCAAAATAGTCAGAGTATTTATGTGTTATTTCTTGTATTTAGTGCAGCAACTTCGATGCAATCTTTGATGTGGACTGGTTTATATCATCTCTCGCAGAAGACATTGAAATCATTAAACAGCTTCCAACAAAGGGAGGAAAATCAACGAGTCCATGTACCATGCGTGTCCCAAAGGAAGTGCAATGCAAAATGCTACCAGAATCGTTTAGTGCAATGCAAAATGCAAAGCAAACAGCTCAAATCAAAAGAAAATTTGAATTTCGTCATCTTGGGCATACAAAGCCCTCTTCTTTATCATCTCAGCATCTTTGCCATAAAATATATATCCCACACTTTTCCACCTCCACCTCGTCCCCCACCGGAAAGGGTTCGCGATGATAATTCAGTAGGAGGAAGTCAACATTGACCTCAGTAAAATGGTTGTAAACGCAATGGGGCTTCGAGCTTCCTCTATAACTTCTTCAAAGACATTATTATACCACCACACAAACACCTCATGTGAATCTTGATAAACAAAGGTTAGTTCATTTATTCGTGAATCATAAAACAAAGGATGGTTGACTTCATGGCTTTCAACATTGCTAGTTTTGAAGTTGTACTTGCATCCAATCTTCTGTGCAGCAAAGCCAACAACAAAAGATAGAGCAAAACCAAAGAAATCTGTGCTAAACCAATCATGAGGAAGCTCAATCTTTATTGAACATCCCTCACTTTGATGGCATTTGTCTCATTAATCACCCAAAGTTTAGGGGTGTATTCGGTGCATACTTTTGATGAATTTGAATGAAATTAAAAAGTCGAGGTATCTAATTTAGATTTTTTTAAAAGGGTGTTGTTAAATGAATTCTAAAACTAACTGAGTATTTGATCTAAGTACACCCTAATATTTAAAACAAAATGTAAAAGTAACAAAATACACCCTATTTGAATGACTTTAATGAAAAGAAACAGATTAATCAGCCTAGGAATTAATTTCCAACTGTAGATCATCTTTTGAAGCTACCATTGATCATAGGATGAGCAATTAGTTCATTAAATTGGATCAATGGATATCATTGTCTACTTCTCCTTTCCCACTTGCTTTACAAAATTACATTGCCATATGGACTTGCTTTTGCTTCTGCTTTCTTTCTTTTCAGCAATAAGTTGTGTGCTTATGTTTGTTCTTTGTCCAATCAAGAAACTGAAAATTTTAGAACAAAGATCTAAACTTCCAATAAATGGTCCCACTGAATCTAGAAAGTTGCTGAGAGATTCTTGTATACATACTCCATTTGAAGTTTGTCCGCGATTATGAAATCTATTTTATTCGTTGCAGAAACGATTACCAGATTTGGTAATGCATCCAGTATTTTTATGTTTAGGTAGATGGGGAAGGGAAATTTGCTCTTATACAATGGGACAAGCATTCTGAAATATCATTCGATTACTTGACAGACACAGGCATGCATACAAGCACACACATCCCAGAAAAGGTATATGCATAGACATGGAGAATTGTGCATGTGCTTTGAAGGGAATCTAGCCAGGAAAATGATTTCATAAAAGGAAAACTTGTTATTTTTTTAATCTCAAATCTTGACATTCATAAAAGGAAAACTGGATCATACTTATTTAATACTTGAATTGAATGAAGAAAATTACTAAACTCAATAGCATCCTTAGCCAAGAAGCTTGGCGATGGAAAGGGGGAAGGGTTAAAACAAGAAAGACATCCCT